AAGCAAGCCACCAGGTCTGGGACTCAAACCGTGGTTGACCATGTGGGAGTGTCCAGCACCTTAACCACCATGCCACCTGCTGGTCCCCCAAAAGAGCACAGCTAGTCAAGTTTGGACGTGGGAGGGAGGCAATGTTAATCAGCTTAACAATAACCCACAATCCTCAGACCAACTTCCTGTAGCTTTTACCTAATGTAATTTTTCTATCCCAGAATTCCATCCAGGATATGAGATTACATCTAGTCATCATATCTCTTTAGGATCTTGGTTGGGACAGTTTTTCAGCTATTCCTTGTTTTTGAAGATGTTGATAGTTTGGATGAGTACTGAACAGGTATTTGTAGAATTTCCTTCTGGTGGAATTTGTCTGATGTTTTCCTCATGATTAGACTGGAATTACAGGTTTGGGGAGGAAGACCACAGAGATGAACCACCAAACCATGTTGATTTTATTCTCAATATATTATGATTGTATCAGTACAAAATGGTTGCTGTTACCACTTCAGAATTAGGATTACATTCGAAGTAAAATGCAGAAGAAGGGAAAAGACAAGAGCCATTTTTGTGGCCCACCATTCCTTCTTTTTAATCAGTAAAGTCACTCCTCCTCCTGACAGACTTAGAACGCAGATAAGAAGATACTAAGAATGGTCTTAGACTTTGATGGGGACGGGCACACAGTCACAGGACTAAAATCAGGGTTCTGTTACCAAGGGAAAAGATGGACCAATTGATGAGAGGCAAAAAACCCTAACAGTGTTGGCCCGAGTGCTTACTATATATGCGACTGCACTGTACTTGTTAATAGAAGAAACCAAAGGCCATAAAATCCAGGGTTTTCCATCACACTTTTCAGGAATTGCATATTCCAATAAATTTAAACGGGCTCATGGTAGAAGAGGGGACTGTTATCACACTGATCTTTTGATTACTCAATCAAATAAAGCCTTGAAAAATGAACATTTGTTCCATGTGCTATCAATTATAAAGACCAGGTCTAAAGAGTCATTCCTGAAGTGATGGAGCAATAATAATAATAATTATTATTATATATATGTGTGTGTATACACACACACACACACACACACACACACTGGCTTTCTAGTCTTGTGCAAATTCCTTGCTATCTTTCATTCTGTTTCTTTTTTTTTTTTTTTTGGAGAGGTTTTTGCTATAGGGCGCAGGCGCTCCCCAGAAAAGAGAGACAGAGAGATGGAAAGCGAGAAATCACTCCCCCAGGGGGGATGGCTATGCCGCAATCCCTTCTCCATTCTCCTCTCAGGATCTTGGACAGGCATGCACATGCGCCCGGTGTGAATTTAAGCTACCAGGTCCGGGACTCAAACTGCAGTTGACTACATGGAAGTCCAGTGACATAGCCATTACACCAATTGCTGGTCCTTTTTTTTTTTTTTGGAGAGGTTTTTGCTATAGGGTGCATGTGCTTGCCAGAAAGAGAGAGACAGAGAGACAGCAAGCGAGAAATCACCCCTCAGGGGGGATGTCATTCTATTTCTTATTTGATAATAATTCCAACCAGGTTTGACTATACTAAGATGAAGTGAGGGGAACACAGAGCACAGTGTCCTGTTCTAAGAAAGTGTTCGATAACGGCAACTGCTGTGATAATCACCACATTGATGATAGAGGTGATGGTGACATTAACAGAAATTCATGCAAAGGGATAGTTATGAAAAAGTCTACTTGATTTTCACCACTTTTGTCACTGTTAACTTTATCTGAATGTCTTCCACTCACCCAAAGTAAATTACATTTCCCTTGGCTTTTTAATAATCATTGCCTTTAGAAACAGCTAAGATAGATTCAGGTACTTAGGGAGGTTCTATTCTATTATCTGTGAAGGCACCAACCACATGACTCAGGTTACTGAGTGGAGATAAAGCAACATCCTACAGGAGAAACTGGCACCAGCACAAGAGATCTTGGAGCATCTGCAGTTAGCTGACAGTTCACTGGGGCTTGGAAACCAATGTGAAAGAATTTATGCTTTAAATCAATGGCATTTGTCAATGAGCCTGTGAGGGAATCCTTGCTAGGACTCTCTGGCTTTTACCGCAACTCCTATTGATATAGCAAAAAGAGAATCCTCCCAAGCAGAAGGTCAATCTAATCCAATCACTTAATGCAGAATGATGGCATCCAGTCTTCAAATCACTGAATGACCATGGGTTTAGAGGTGTGCACCACAATATAGCTGTGGGGGTTAGGCATTTAGCAAGTTGTTTTATTTCTAATTGCAGGCATTTGCTTAACAGTTTTTTTTTTTATTCTAATTTATGGTTTTATGTTCCAGTTTGTTTACATAGCCCATAGTTCCCAATTGCCTTTATTTGCTTAAGTGTTTCTTTAATTTTATTTACATTTTTATATATGTTGGTTTGCTTACATAACTCATTGTTTGGAGTGGGCTAGAAATAACCATAAATCCCCATTGCTAATTAGCCTCATCCCCATGACTGATTAGTCAAGATTATGAGCCTAGAAGGAGGGCAAGGAGGAGGCCTAGTAGTAAGTCACAGGATCATTGAATTTTAGAGCTGAAAGGAATCTTGCGAGCTTAAGGCATTTTTCACATAGAATTCTATGGTTTTATATCTTCAATGTTGGAGAATTATGAAAGGTTGTTTGCTCTTGCTCCTTTCTGTAAAAACAGAAGGATTTGGTGGCAGTTTTGAAAAATAAGAATAAAGAGAAAACTCAATCAATGACTATGAGTAATTCATAATGGGGGCTTAAAAAGAATCAGAACTTGACATGTAAATGGGCTATAGAAGAGCAGAGAAAATACTAATGACCTCAAGGGGGTTCTTCTTTGGAGGTAGGGAAGCAGAGTGGATTGTCTGGAACTCCCTCCTCAGCAGCTGCTCAGTTTGCAAGGATTTTAGCTTGCCTAACTGTAAGCTTAGCTATTAGCTTTGCAGTGGGGAGTACTTAAAAGTACACACAACATATGAAGGAAAGAACCTGGAACCGAGTAGCCTGCTTCATTCCAAGAATCCATCTGGCATTTAAAGAACTGCTTGTCCTACATTAAACCCTGCAGAGTAAGAGCCATTTTTCATATCCTCACACCCCTATTTTTGGTTTCAGGTGAGACAGCTTATTGAGTTTGGGAAGGAACAAGGAGACTTTTTAGAACCACCTAACCGAATGATTCATCCAGGGTGAGCTCCATAAATCCAAAATGAGTGAAACATGTTGAAGCCCCTGCTTGGGAAATTGACTTAAAAGCAAGCTCAAGTGTCCATAAGAGGTAGAAATTCATATCCCCCATAGCAGAGTACAATGAAAGAAAGGGTGCTACAGATAGGAGAATCTGTGGCTGGGTTATCAACATTAAAGGACTCATTGGTATGTTGAGAAGTGAAATCCAGTATACTCCTAAACAAACATAACTTTTTTTTAAAAAAAGAAAGAGCTTGTTTTTACTACTTTGGTACATCTGGAGGCATCTGAAAGCAAATGCTGCCAAAGGAGTAGTCCCTGGATTGCCAGGAATCTCAGTGTGTAAAGTGTTATAAGCCTTGAAATTAGTCCTGGACTTGAGATACTGTCCCTCCTCCCAGAATGCTTCCTTCTGACACATTTTCTAAAGTTCCCCTTTCGAGGGAAAGTGTATGCACCCAGATCTGCTCAGCTGAGACTTCAAACGTGCGAGACAGCAGGCTCTCACCTAAACTGGTCACCCCTTGAGGGACAGCATCAGGCTCCAGTTCTGGCGCCAACTCTAAGCGGCGCCCTCCCGGTTACTATGACGACCGCGGGAGGGGCGAGACCACCATCCGCTTCTTCCCAGCCTCTGCCCAGGACCTTTCGAACGCTCCAATTGGGACAGCCCTTTCTTGCCTCTGTCCCGCCCCGTTCGGCTCCGAGCGCATTGCTATTGGCCCGGGCCGCCCGGCTCGGTACCCAGAGGGTGCCACCTCTTGACAGTTAAGAGCGGTAAAGTGTACCAGGCGCTGTCCGAGGCGTGAAGCCCGCGGGTGTTGCGGGGGAGCACACAGACGGTTTTGTAGCGAGTTGTTCCTGTCCCAAACACAACCTCCCGCACCCATGGTTACTAACAGTTGGAAGCAGGAGCCAGGGCAAAGACCCAACGTTTGCCGGCCGGTGCGGTCCGTCCTGGGGGACCAGGCGCGACCTGGAACGAGATCCAGCAGCGCGCTCTGGGGCATCAGGGATCAGAGGCCAGAGAAGGCGGGCCGAGCTCCGGGGGCGGTGCCAGCAGCGGCGGCGGGAGGCGCAAGGCCCAATGAGCGTGCGCACCGCCCCTAGAGGCGGGGCTTGCGAAGTGCTTGCCCTCCCTTTCCCCG